CATATATATATATTATATATATATATATAGATGTCTCCATTAGAGAGAGGCCTTTTGATGATGTCCAAAAGTAAAATCGTGAGGGCTTGTGCCCAAAGCGGACAATATCTCACTAATATGGAGACATGTGTGTATGTGTGTGGTAATCTCCCGGCGCACGGTATCAGAGCCAATGGTCTGATCAAGTGACCGGCTCGACGGTTATGATGGCTGGCAAGTGGATCCAAGTTTGGGATCTCTTGTGTCGAAAGTCTTCCTAATGGTGGATCCATGTAGAAGAAAGACTTCCTAGTAACATGGAGGGTTAGGAGACGTGTCCCGCTATCATGAAGGAGGTCATGATAGAGTGGTGGTGCAAACACTTAGATATACACAGTTGTCACCATTAGAGAGAGGCCTTTTGGGTAATATCCAAAAGCAAAATCGTGAGGACTTGGACCCAAAGCGGACAATATCTCACCAATGTAGAAATATGTGTATATGCTGTGCACAACAGTTATTTTGTAGTATAGTGTGACGTTTTCTTTCCATCATATTATTTTCATATACAAAATTCAAGAATTCAAGATGTTACTTAAAAAGAAATTGAGTTTAATTTTAACTTAAACCAACAACTGGTTAAAGACATTTCCAAATTCTAAAACTCCGCCCAATAAGAAAAGTTAGCATTCAATGGAGCATAACGACAATACAAACATCTCTTTAGTGTGTATTTGATTCACACATTTCAACGCTACAAACTGAAAAGTAACAATATTAGTGGGGAGAAGCTAGAAGTTGGGTAATTCCTGTTTGGACTTCGGAACCAAACAAAAAACATTTTGCTTTTCTTGTTTCAGTAGAGAAAATAAAGATAGTGGGGACGAAACACGAATTAGGAGGATTACTGTTTTGGACTTTGGAATCCAACAGAAAACATTTTCCATATCTTGTTACACTCAGAAAATTTCTTTTCTAGTTACGCTATAAATGATGTAGGGATTGTTGTATATGAATGAAGTATCCGATTTTGACTTGTATTTTGTATTTTAAATGATTTAGACCCCACATGGCACAAGAGTCATACGAATTTAATTTGGCGGTATTGTGAGAGAAGAACTTCTAATTGAATTAATTTTATGGTAAAATTAATTAGTTGACTTTTATACTAAAAATAAAATAATAAATAATTATTTTTATCTTTTACGGTATCACTGTAATTTTGTGAAATATAATTGATTATTGGATATTATCCGAATACACTAGGTAATGTAAATGAATTTGATTATCATTTTGTCCTTGAGTAATAGGAAATGCTTATATCATTTATATGTAAGAAGATTAGTTTTTATTAAATAAATTAAGAATGATTAAATATAAGATTTATTTATTTATATTATTATTTTAATTTTTGGGTACATTTTTATATAATTATATAAATTTTAATATATTTTTTGTCTTGGTAACATAAATAAATTTTGATTTTAGTCTCTATAACATTTTTACTTTATATTTTATTCTTCTAAAATTTAAAATATTATTATTAGTTTCATTTATTGTGTAATTATTTTTATTTACTTATTTGTTCGTTAAAATGTTAAGTAATTATCTCAAATATTTTTTGTAATTATTAATAATATTATATTAATGTATGATATTATTAAAAAAAATTATAGATCATTAAAATAAATATTATTTATATCTTAAAATCATCTTGATCTAAAAATAATAATTTTATATTTTAAAATGATAAAAATAAAAAATGTATATTTACAAAAATCAAAATAAAAAATAAATACATAATTTAGTTTCTATACATGTAATTGTAATTGATTATTAATTTAATTTTTTACATAAAAATATATTAAATTAGTTGTCCCTAAACATCATATTTTATCAATTTAATCCTTATTGTCACTCTTTATTTAGACAACATTTCTACATAGACGGTTAAATGTATATGTGTGGCCACGGCATTCTACACATTAACAAACAAAGAAGTGAACCGACACACTTTGCTCCATCTTCTTCATTCTTCTTTGGAATACGCACTTGACAAAGCCTAAAACATTTCATTTCATCTCAGGCAACGACACTTATACAAATATAGTGCATGCATAATTGACACTAAAATGTCTTTTTTAATGAATATATATAAGAGTACGTTAACTAATTTTAGACTTTGCTTGCAATTTGCCACTACGTGCCCAGATAAGACCGACATCACATCAAAGTATCTTTCAATCTTTGTATTGCTAGAATTCATAATCAAGAAAGATTTTTGATACAAAATAAAGGAGTAATATGTTAATTTCAATTTCTGCAAACTTCACATATATTGATGTATATTATTGTTGCGGCTTAAAGTTGCAATGCTTCTAAATTCTTAGTATTTCAAGATTAGTCTTTTGGCACTTGCTCTTGTTATTTCTACGACTCCTCTTGCTGTAGAAGAATAAATATAACATTAGACTCATTTAGAGTTGCCGAGAGATAATGGAGAATGACTCATGTATCTAACAAGTCCGCGATAAAATATTTGTAACACTCTTTGAATATGGAATAATGATAAAGACTAATTCAATAATATATATATATATATATAAATTAATCTAATAAATTTTTAAGTAGAAGAATTAAATTAAGAATCAACTACGTACATATATAAAGACTAAATTATATTTTATATCAAATCAACATTTATTTATTTTATAAAGATAAAAATAATATTTTAAAATGATCTAAATAATGTTTATAAATTTTAGAATGATGACAAAAAAAATTATAGAATCAAAATTAAAACTCACTCATTTTACAAGTGTAACATTGTACAATTTTGTTAAATATTGTGATTTTGTCAATAATTATGAAGTTGTGTTGCTAAGATTATGTTGTATTTCTCTTATGGATTGTGGTTGAATTGAATCATTTAAAAAGAGATGAGTTCTTGCATGTTTTATGTCTCTTGAGAGTATAATGATCCTTGCCTTGAATTGTTGTTGCGTATGTTGTGTTCTTGTTAGAAATGAGTTGTTGATGATGAGTATAAGTGTATGGTTGTATTGCATGCTTGGGATTTTCTAGATTTTAGGTGATTTGGACCAAATTCATGAATTTTTTATGTGCAAATTTCACCATCACATCATGTTAACTCTTTCATTCAACTTTGCACATTCTTTGTCCTCTTTTGATCCAATTTTTTGTGCATATATAGCTAGCTTGAAAATCATCTAACAATACCCTGGTATACCTCCTTTTTGTGTAGGTACTGAGTATAAGAAGATGGTGTTGAGGATCCCTATGATTAAGACTTGCTAGAGCTAAAATTGAAGAGTTAAGGAGTTGGGA